TTCTCCTCTTTTTGTCCTTTGCTCTGTTTTTAACTGCATTGCCTTTCAGCTCATGTTCCCCTCTTTCTCTTTCCTGTTCCAATCTTGGCTGCTTCTGGCTCTACCTTTGCACATGCGTTTCGTGTGGCCCTTCCTTCCACACTGGTGACAGTCACGGTCTTTGTACCAGCAGTCATCATCAGTATGATTCATTTCCCGCAGCGGCGGCATTTTTCACCTCTTTGTGACAGCACTGCATTCACTTTAAGGGAACCACTCAACTGCTGCACTTCACGTGTTGCTGTCTCTGCCGACACAGCATAATCAACTGCTTTGCGAAACGTGAGATCCTTCTCAGTCAAAAGACGCTTCTGCACAGTTTCACACTTTAATCCACACACAAATCTGTCTCGTAGAGCATCTTCCAGATACGCACCAAACTCGCAATGTTCTGACAGTCTTTTCAGCACCGCCACATACTGTGCGACCGTTCTTCTTCCCCCTGATTCCTCTTGTGGAACCGGAACCTTTCAGCTATTACCAGCGGTTTGGGAGCAAAATGAGCTTGCAAAACACCCACAATATTGTCATACTGCATTGTCCCAGGCTTGCTTGGCGCCACTAGATTACGCAGCAGACTGTACGTCTTGGACCCATCACACTCAGCAGCACCGGGACCCGTTTCTCAGGCTGAATGTCATTAGCAAGGGTGTAATGCTCAAAACGTTCAATATACGTCGCCCATTGCTCACCAGCATCATCAAAAGGGTCCATCTGTCCAATCATTCCAGCCATGATGTATCCGCTGTCCACAGCCAACACTGTCGTTTTTGACTCGTCGGCGAAAAGCAGCTAGCAGCTAGCTCCGATGCTAATTCACCACGCGATCGTCCGTTTTCCGTCCGAACTCGGCCACGCAGTCAGTTCATGCTCAGTAGACAGCCAAGTCTTCCAGACGTCACAACTCGTCGCCAATTTATGTTATATTTCCACTGTAGTGTCAATAAACTATTAAGGATTATGCCGAGTCAGACTGCACATACAACAGTTTGTTTACAAGTTGACTTCTTCTTTATTGGGATCACACAGAAGTAACATACACACATAACTGGGCGTGGTGCCCCCTACTGGCGATGGCTTGCATAGCACACAATAATTCTTGGTTCATACATAACAGCTACATTGTAGCTTGCCATCACCAGTGTGTGAATGTGTGTGTGAATGGGTGGATGACAGGTTGTGTAAAGCGCTTTGGGGTCCTTAGGGACTAGAAAAGCGCTATACAAATACAGGCCATTTACCATTTACTGTTGCACGTCATCTGTGTCCTCATGTTTAGCCTGCCGCGGCCGTTGGTTGGAGGAGCCGCAATAGTTTGGAAAGGAAGGAAGCAGTAAGGTCAGTTTCCATTCTGGGTTTTCAGCATTAATAAAGAAACCTGCAACAAGGTGAGTAATGTTTGAGGTCCAAAAGAAATCAACACAGAGAAATTTTTACAGTGCTTTTCTACTCTACCTGAACATTCAAAGCGCTCTATACAGGTTGCCTCATTCACACCTGTTCATAGAAGCCCTTTTTCTGTGCTTTCTACCTAACATTCACACACATTCATACTCTGATGAATGCATCAGAGAGTGACTTGGGTTAATGTCTTGCCCAAGGACAGTTAGCATGCAGTCTGGAGCAGCCAGGGATCGATCCAAAAACCATCTGATTAGTAGATGACCTGCTCCACCTCCTGAGCCACAGCCACCCCTTTCAGAGGTAAAGAATGATTTAGAAAGTAAGTACAGTAATTTTTTGAGGTGATTTGATTAAAAAAAAAATCATTTTTGCTTCTAATTACATAATTAAGGTGTAATTACATCTTCCAACAAATTGATACATAAACGTATCATTTATCTACTAAAAATACATAGGAGCTGGCGTCATGTTGTGGAAGCTGCCATCTTGCCCCACCATCATACACTGGCTGAGATGGGCATCGCTGCGCCGCCTTTTCATGTTTTATGTAAGTGGATTTATACATTACTTTGAATTTAAAGATGTCAAATAGCTCTTTCACACTACATATGACTATTTCACATTTGTACATGTATATTTTGGTGATCTCTTTCTCAGTATGTTTTTCTTCTTATGGAAATAAGCTAATTTTAAACCAGTTAATGTTAGGCTCCAGTGTCCTAAGAAATCACACCTTTCCCCTGATAAACAAATTGATTGGATTCTCACATTGTGTGGGAATTGATTATCAATTACAACTTCAATGAGCCACTTCAAAGAAAGTTTCACCCGCGTGGGCAGCAACAGAAAGTCCAGATGTGGAAACAGAAGGTTTCCACATTAAAATATCGATATTTGAATCATTTTGGGGTAAATTGTAGTTTTTCATTAACAGGAACACAGTGGAAAGAAACTATCATTCAGATTGTCTACATTGGAAAGAACTACTCCCTCTTCCGCCTTTTATAGTCATGTGTGAAATACGGCTGTATAAATGTGTGGCAGCCTGTGGCGTGCGCACTCACAACAATGGCTGAGCGTAACTGGAGTCATGTGCGCACGTATTTTACATCCACAAACAGCCCAGACGTGGTTTGCGATACATGTGGCAAGAAAGTGAGGTGTTGTGGCAACACCACTAACCTTGTCAAACACCTCAAAGTAAATCATATCACAGAATATGACGAGCTTATGTTGAGGCAAACTGAAGAGGAGGAGAAGGACGGGTGCTGCTAGGGTGAGACAGACGTCTCTCAGGGAGTCCTTTAGTGCTGCAGGCAGGCAAGGTGTTCACATAGTGCACAACTTCAGGTTTTTGATTTCTATATGATGAATTCTGCATTATTAAGTGATAAGAACAAGTAATCTGATGTCCTGTAATGATTATGACGCTATAATTTGAGATACAATAAAAGAGTAAAGTTTTGTACAAAGTATCGGAGCAGTATCGTCGATACCACCCTGAATTTTACGTGGTATGGATCGGAAAGGAAATCAGTGGTATCACACATCACTAGTGATCAAATGTCAGGCCAAGCTGGAACTGATTCCTGTCTTCTGTAACTTCTACAACACTGTCCAATAGAGACACATGAATGAACTGCAGCGTCATTAAAAACACTGATGATCTTTATTTAAAAATGTAATACATTTACATCTGAATAAACTTTTAGGCATTACGCTGACGGAGGGATGGATGGACCATGAATGCTTTCTCATCCTTCTTGTCATGCACCATGGAAGTGTCTGAGGGGCTTTTCCACTTGGAATGGGGATACTGTGTCCACACTTCAGAGGTGGAGTTTCCAGCATCTCACCTGGGCCTCATCTGCAAACAATCAGCAGGAGGGCTTCTTAAACCAGCGCTGCCTGCTACTCCTCGCCAGTTTGTTCTGCCATCTCCAGTGGTAACTAGGCTTCCCCTCTGCTCCAGTTCTGGCGTGCTCCTTCCCTGTGTTTAACCTTGTTTTCCCTGTGTTTAGGTCTCCTCTGCCAACGTACTCATCCTACCCTCAAACTCCCTTACCCGTCCAGCAACTTCTTCTCCCTCTGTTGCAGAATTCCCGTTGGATTGTTCCCATCAGGAGCCAGGTGTTCAGTCTCTCGATAGCTTTTCCTCTGGTTCCTGCTGTCTGCTGACACTCCTAGCTCGAGCCACGTTCTCCATTCCCTCTCTAAAGTCTCATAAATAGTTTAACCATGTGCATTGAATCTGCATTTGGGTCTAAGCTTTCTATGCAGGGAAGAAATCATCACAGTGACATCTATTTAATTTTCAATTCAATTTTATTTAAAGAGCGCCAAATGACAGCAACAGTCACCTGAAGGCGCTTTATATTGTAAGATATACTTACAAAGAAAACCCCAACAATCATATGACCCCCTATGAGCAAGCACTTTGGCGACAGTGGGAAGGAAAAACTCCCTTTTAACAGGAAGAAACCTCCAGCAGAACCAGGCTCAGGGAGGGGCGGCCATCTGCTGCGACCGGTTGGGGAGGGGCAAGGAAAATAGTATAAAGACATGGAACAGAGACAGAGGTTAATAACAAGTACCATTCAGTGCAGAGAGGTCTATTAAACATAGTGGGTGAAGAAGAAACACCCAGTGCATCATGGGAATCCCCCGGCAGCCTAATGCTGGGCATACACTGTGCGATTTTTGGCCCATTTTGAGCCGATTTTTCAGTCGTGCGATCGTTTTGGGGATCGTCCCGAGTTTGGCCTTGATCAAACTTCTCACCCCTGCGAGTCAATCCTACAGTTTGATCAGGAGCCGAATAACGCGACTGAAAAATCGCAGCACAGTGTATGCCCAGCTTATTGCAGCATAGAGGATTCAGGATCACCTGAGTAGGCCATCAGATTACTGAAAGGATACTGAAAAAACCCGTCGAAGTAGTCTTAGTCTTCATTGCTGCTGGTCGATTCAATTGAACACCTCTGAAGTTTGCACACAGGCAAGTATTGCTCTTCTTGCTCAAAATCCTCTCGGGAACGCTTCCTCGAGCCTCCAGTTTCGTGTTCAAGCTCTTCGTGCGCATCTTCAAATACTTCAGAGTCATCATCGCTCCATCTCATTCTTTTGTTTGCTCCTAAATCTTCTTCATCCCTCTCTCTAGACCTCTTCCTGGAAACACCTGGCTGAGGGTCCTCTTCTGGGATGTACTGGCGAACATCCATGCGGCCTTCAAATGCCTCCTCATTTTCAATGCCACCAACATTGAAAATGATCACAACCACAGCATCCCCGTGCTGTTCATCGTTGTCACCATTGGCATTATTGTCCCTCACATGAATATTTTGAACATCGTCGTCGTCGTCATCGTCATCGTTGCCGTCGCCGCCGTCATCGTCGTCGTCATCGTCGTCGTCATCGTCGTCGTCATCGTCCCCGTAAAGGTAATTGTCATATTGTGCCAGTACTGAAGCTATTAGCTCATGTAGATAGCAACAATAATCACTGAGAGCGAGATACAGATCGTTCAGGAAGCCATTAGCAGGTTCCTGATCTCCATTTGCCAACATTTGTGGGTTAACCTGTTGGCCTGCAAGATCATTAAATCTTTTAATTAACATCCATAACTATCTGCTGAAAATCTGTTTTTCATCAATTTCAAGACTGAGTACATGTGCTTACCGTTTTGGTTATTTTGTGGTCCGTCTCCACTTGCACTCATTTTGACTACAAGGAACACAAAACAACAATGATCACTAAACCTCAACCCAGAATGTTCAGAGAATTTGCTTTTTTTGTGATGACTTTAGGCTGCGTCCAAACGTACACGGCTATGTTTGAAAACGGACGTTTTCCTTTTTCGTTTAAAAAAAATAAAAATCCAGTCCACATGTGCAGTTTTGAAAAAATATCTCCTTCCACATCTAAACACTAAAAACAAAGTGAAACGCTGTCAAGAACACGCCAAATCTTAACCGTGTAGAAATGTTGGCCAATCAGAAGTCTAGAAGCCTGGGTGGGAAAACCTCATAAAACCTTACGTACTTCTGAGAAGTTTTTGTCTTTTTCTGGAAAAGCAGCTAATTTTGTGTTACTTTCACGTGCCTTCATCGTTTCAAATGTTAATAACTAAAGACAGACTCACAACTTTGGAATGGACTAAATGCATACAGCATACATAAATGTCATTTTTTAAAATTACATTTATTCCAAACCGACGTCAGGATTTGTGTTGGGAGAGCGTCTGTGTTGAATGTAGAATCCACGTCTGATGTAAGCGTGTAAAAACTGCAGATACTAAGATTAACAGACACAGTATGTTGTCTACATCTGCCATTGTAGAAATTGATCTCATGTAAACAATAACGTGGCCACAGCGTGACTTCAACAGCGGCGCACACTTTTGACATTGCCTGAGTAAATGTCCGTTTTCCTCGTCCACACCTAAACACAAAAACGTGCTTTTTAAAAATCTCACCTTTCAGTGACTCAATCTGCTGTTTAGGTGTGGACGAAAGGCCCAAATGCAGAGACAAAGCTGCGCTTTCAAAAATAGCCGTGTACATGTGCACGTAGGCTCAGTTTCTCAGAAATTCTAATAGTTTGTTTGAGAACAAAACTTACGTCTTCTCTATTTCCTAAATGAACAAAATAATCTGAGAAATAATCGTGTTAAAAAGAGCTTCTGTCACTCTAAGATATGATTAAGAACATTTCTAATTTATCTATCATTGTCAAATATTACATCAGCTGACAAATAGTTAAGTCTTCATTTGTTTTCCTGAATAATAGATCCACATCATCCTCTCTATGATGGAAAATATAGTCTAGTCTTGCACAATGTAAAGTACATAAATACTGTCCTGGCAAGCAGGGAAATCAGGCTTTATATATTTAAGTAAATGATCTTGAGTTTATAAACTGAAATTTGAGCTTACTTTAGTTCTTGGTAGATTACACAGCAGTTAATCCTCAGGGAAACGTCCAAATGTCACTAAATAGTGGTCTGCTTTCATTCGGTTGCAGTGTCTCTTCAGTTTTGTGTTCATATGCTGATGTTTTCATTCAAACATGTTTAAATGCTGTGATGTCACTTTAGCAGCAAAGACTGCGGAATGTGCAGAGATTCTTTGACATCAAGTTGTTTGCTCAGATTTTGATATCTTTTAAATGGAGACAAAACAAAACGCTATGGCAACAAAACAACAAGCTGTTTCCAGTGCTTAATATTTAACATGTCTTTGTTATAAATTTTATTTGTACAAATCTGTGATGTTGATGTGCACAACGTGGGATTTAGACCTCGGAGGGTTAATCAACAAATCACGAAAAATTAGGTTTAAATTTCTGTTCATGACGGTGCAGATTTCTGACATTTTGTGTACTTGAAGCATTTAACAATTGATTGTTTTCTAATAAAAACTGTGTGAAACTCAAGTTAGAACTGTGTTTGTAAATGAACCGTCCCATGTTGTGTAGCTTTCTGGATTTTATACTTATTGGGCTACATATTAATTTACTATACAGGCTATACAGTAGATAAAATCTAACCTCACATGTTTTATGTAACTAAAGTGTTTAATCATGTGGGCTACAGACAGTAATCAAGTTATGGACTATATTGATATGAAAAACATGCATACTTAGTGCATTTGAATCATTTTAACCATATGTAACCACCTGCATGTCATGGTCCTGGGACTTCTACCTGGTTTTTGTGTGTCTTGTATTGTTGTTGTTTGATGTCAGCTTTAGGGTCCCTCGGTTGTTCTGTTAAGATGTTGCTTATTTGATTTCCCCTCGTGACTTTACCCCCTGTGTGCCCCTCTGTGTATCTGCCAGCCCCATGCCTCGTTTCTCCTCCTTGTGTTTTATTCCATGTTTTCCCAGCCCGCTATGTCTGTGTTCTCTTCCAATCTGGTCTGCGTCTCTGTGTGCTTCCTGTTTTACTTTGATAGTCTCCCGTCAGTGTTGTGTTACTCCTGCCGTGTCTCGTTATGATTATCAGTGTCGCCTGTGTTCCCCGTGTGCTCCCACTTCCCTCGTTAACCCTCTGTGTATTTGTGTCCACGTCTCCTACATTACCTACATAATAGAGCTATAATAAATGTTTGTTTGGGGTTTTTTAAGTACAGAAATCAGCTGCTAAAATAATTGTTTTGACTTTTGGGAATGCTTTACGGTCTGTTCTGTAGGAACGCTGAATTAATATATTGACTGTCTGGCCCCTTCTGGCTATTTAATAGTTGCTGAAGGAGATTTTGTTCATCCCCAGCTAATCTCATCCATATTTATATAAAATCTAGCATACTCCACACCACACAAAGTCAGAAGCCAGTTAAAATCTGTATGTGGTACCTGAGGCGGTGCTGCACTGACCAGTTGTTTCTGGCTATTTGCTGGTTCAGCCTGCCTATCACTGCAACTCTTGGCTCTTATTGGTCAGGCTGGTGTGTGTGTGTGTGTGTGTGTGTGGTGTGTGTGTGTGTGTGTGGTGTGTGTGTGTGTGTGTGTGTGTGTGTGTGCGTATTGTAAAGACTTGATTCCCACAGTCCAAGTCAGGGTTTTAAAATGCGTTGCTGTCTCCATCCAGCATCAAAGCTGCATTGAAATTTCCTTCAATGAAATTTTGGCTCAAAGAAAAACAGTGTTGTTACTGTCAATCTCCAGTTAAAATAAAAGTGTAATTAAACCAAACGAAAGTAATGTACTAATGCTGGTCAAGACATTACCTGTAGCTGAGTGACATTTCCTCCAATTTCTGTTGGTGTCTGCAGTTTCCACTGGGGCTTAGTGTCTACTGCTACCCGACTGCACCACCATCCTCCACATTGCTATGCGTCCATTGGTGGTGCAGCTGCTAGGATTCTGAGTGTTGCAGAATTTTTAAAAAAGCAACGAGTTTTGTTTTTTTTAACCTATGCATTTGGAAACATTCAGGAATATGGTGATGGGAAAGAAAAAGGTGGTTTCCATGAAGTCTCCCTCTCGCATCCACCTTCCATACTGCCAAAGCTCCAGACTGTCAATAACAATAATAACAGTAATAGTTAACAGTTAATTTGCCTAGCACTTTCAAAACAGTTACAAAGTGTGTTAAAGAACACAATAAAATCTTAGTTAAAAACTCAAAGAAAAGTTCAAAGAGTTAAAACACGAAACGGTTGTTTTCTTTTTGCATTGAGCCAGGCTGCACGGACAGCTAAGAGTGTCTGATGTGCAGAATGCAGGCAGTGACTTGGTTCATAAAAAGTGACCAAATCTGTAACAAGGCTTGTACCCATGTATCGTATACCCAAAAGGTTGTGAGAGGAGAATGATGATTTATTTCTTTGAATTTGTTATAAGTCTGGCAGCTGAGATTTAAATGAGCTGGAGGTGAAAGATGGACTTCTGGCTGAGATCCCAGTAGAAGGAATTACAATTATTCAAACACAATGAGATAAAAGGATTTAATGGGTGTGATAAATGTGGTTGCACTCACCTGTTCACGGCACCTGATGTTAATGAGCAGAAAGGTAGGGTGAGCATGAGGCGAAACCTTCTGTTGACTGCAGCTTGAGCGCAGCTTGAATCATTTTGATGCATCTTTGGTTTATGTATACTTCTGCACTAAGTTATGCAATAGGCCAATGTTGAAATTTGGCATAGTAAATGGTGCAGTTATTTGTGCAGTCTGTGCATTTGTTTAATGGTTTGAGGCCGTGTGCCGATTTGTACAGTGGACAGTTGTATGTGGAATAAAAGTAGCAAATAGTACAGAGGTGTATCTCATGGGCGATCGTGGCTCAAGAGTTGGGAGTTCGCCTTGTAATCGGAAGGTTGCCGGTTCGAGCCCCGGCTTGGACAGTCTCGGTCGTTGTGTCCTTGGGCAAGACACTTCACCGTTGCCGCCTGGTGGTGGTCAGAGGGCCCGGTGGTGCCAGTGTCCGGCAGCCTCGCCTCTGTCAGTGCGCCCCAGGGTGGCTGTGGCTACATTGTAGCTTGCCATCACCAGTGTGTGAATGTGTGTGTGAATGGGTGGATGACAGGTTGTGTAAAGCGCTTTGGGGTCCTTAGGGACTAGAAAAGCGCTATACAAATACAGGCCATTTACCATTTACTGTTGCACGTCATCTGTGTCCTCATGTTTAGCCTGCCGCGGCCGTTGGTTGGAGGAGCCGCAATAGTTTGGAAAGAAGGAACAGTAAGGTCAGTTTCCATTCTGGGTTTCAGCATTAATAAAGAAACCTGCAACAAGGTGAGTAATGTTGAGGTCCAAAGAAATCAACACAGAGAAATTTTTACAGTGCTTTCTACTCTACCTGAACATTCAAAGCGCTCTATACAGGTTGCTCATTCACACCTGTTCATAGAAGCCCTTTTTCTGTGCTTTCTACCTAACATTCACACACATTCATACTCTGATGAATGCATCAGAGAGTGACTTGGGGTTAATGTCTTGCCCAAGGACAGTTAGCATGCAGTCTGGAGCAGCCAGGATCGACCCAAAAACCATCTGATTAGTAGATGACCTGCTCCACCTCCTGAGCCACAGCCACCCCTTTCAGAGGTAAAGAATGATTTAGAAAGTAAGTACAGTAATTTTTTGAGGTGATTTGATTAAAAAAAATCATTTTTGCTTCTAATTACATAATTAAGGTGTAATTACATCTTCCAACAAATTGATACATAAACGTATCATTTATCTACTAAAAATACATAGGAGCTGGCGTCATGTTGTGGAAGCTGCCATCTTGCCCACCATCATACACTGGCTGAGATGGGCATCGCTGCGCCGCCTTTTCATGTTTTATGTAAGTGGATTTATACATTACTTTGAATTTAAAGATGTCAAATAGCTCTTTCACACTACATATGACTATTCACATTTGTACATGTATATTTGGTGATCTCTTTCTCAGTATGTTTTTCTTCTTATGGAAATAAGCTATTTTAAACCAGTTAATGTTAGGCTCCAGTGTCCTAAAAAATCACACCTTTCCCCTGATAAACAATTGATTGGATCTCTCATTGTGTGGGAATTGATTATCAATTACAACTTCATGAGCCACTTCAAAGAAAGTTTCACCCGCGTGGGCAGCAACAGAAAGTCCAGATGTGGAAACAGAAGGTTTCCACATTAAAATATCGATATTTGAATCATTTTGGGGTAAATTGTAGTTTTCATTAACAGGAACACAGTGGAAAGAAACTATCATTCAGATTGTCTACATTGGAAAGAACTACTCCCTCTTCCGCCTTTTATAGTCATGTGTGAAATACGGCTGTATAAATGTGTGGCAGCCTGTGGCGTGCGCACTCACAACAATGGCTGAGCGTAACTGGAGTCATGTTTTACATCCACAAACAGCCCAGACGTGGTTTGCGATACATGTGGCAAGAAAGTGAGGTGTTGTGGCAACACCACTAACCTTGTCAAACACCTCAAAGTAAATCATATACAGAATATGACGAGCTTATGTTGAGGCAAACTGAAGAGGAGGAGAAGGACGGGTGCTGCTAGGGTGAGACAGACGTCTCTCAGGGAGTCCTTTAGTGCTGCAGGCAGCAAGTGTTCACATAGTGCACAACTTCAGGTTTTTGATTTCTATATGATGAATTCTGCATTATTAAGTGATAAGAACAAGTAATCTGATGTCCTGTAATGATTATGACGCTATAATTGAGATACAATAAAAGAGTAAGTTTTGTACAAAGTATCGGAGCAGTATCGTCGATACCACCTGAATTTTACGTGTATGGGAGGAAAGGAAATCAGTGGTATCACACATCACTAGTGATCAAATGTCAGGCCAAGCTGGAACTGATTCCTGTCTTCTGTAACTTCTACAACACTGTCCAATAGAGACACATGAATGAACTGCAGCGTCATTAAAAACACTGATGATCTTTATTTAAAAATGTAATACATTTACATCTGAATAAACTTTTAGGCATTACGCTGACGGAGGGATGGATGGACCATGAATGCTTTCTCATCCTTCTTGTCATGCACCATGGAAGTGTCTGAGGGGCTTTTCCACTTGG